ACTGTTTCAACAGCTTATTAACTGGTTGCTCTATCTAGAATTTCTCTGCTTTAATCCTTTTACCTTATTGTTGGAGTGGTGTTTCTGAAATGCCAGTATGTCATTTCCCTGCCTAAGGTACTTGCAAGTTAATGTCCCCACCTCCTATTTTTGCTTACAAAGATCTTGGTCCTGCTTACCTTTTCAGACTTGATGTCTGTCAGTCTGCCTGTTATATTTTGTGCCCTGCCTATACGTGATTTCTTCTCATTTCCCAAATATGTCATATTTTCTTCTGCCTTTGTATTTTTGGACTCATTGCTCTTTCTGGGTGAAATGCCTTTCCTTGTACCACCTTCTCTGCTTTGTAAATTTCTCTCGTCTTTTACATCTTACCTCAAACATTACATCTTCCTGACAGAATTAGAAGTGACCTTTTCTTTCCTTCAGAATGCTGTATATATAATTTTATTATCACTTACCACATTGTATTATAACATTTTGTGTATATGTCTTTGGGTCATTATAGGTTTTTATCCCATCCCACTCCCCTGCACCCTACTATCTAATTGTTACCTTCATGAGAAGAGGAATTAAATCTATTTAGTTTTTGTATTACTAATGCCTAGCATAGTGTCTGACATATAGTAGCTGTTGAGAAAACGCTTGTTAAATTATTAATAGAAAATCTCAGACAAAAACAAAAAGGGGCTAGGATTAAACCAAATAATTCTCCCCTAAAAAGGTATGCAAAATGATAGCATAAACTTGGCTGTTTTTAAATTCTTTGTGAATATTTTCAGTAGAATGAGTTTTTATTTTTATTTAAAGCAGGAAAGTTTGCAGAAAACAATCTACAAGTTGGAAGAACAGCTACATAATGAAATGCAATTAAAAGATGAAATGGAGCAGAAGTGCAGGTGAGATTATATTTAATCATGTTTTTCAGATTAAAAGTTGTATAGCAAATGCTGTTTTAATGCCTCTGTAAACACTCAAAAGTAGCCTGAAGTAAGGTGAGGATGTAAATGTTGCTGCTGATATACATTCATGAAGAGTGTGTTGGCTAGAACTGAAAAATAATATTTTTGTTGACATTAGTTATAGATGCGTTTTTCCCAGAATGTTAAAGTGCTGATTTCCTTAGCGCCTGATTCATTTCTTTTCTCTTCCATTTTAACTAGCTGACTGAAAGGATAAATTACTTTACATTAAATGAAGTGTTTTCTAAGATATAAAATATTGGAGATTAAAATTCATTACATTTTTATATAGTCATTCTAATTTACATTGTGATTCTCTAGAGCAATAACTCAGATTTTTTTTTCCTATGAGTCTAATACAAATAAGAATGTATATATTTATGAAAATATAGAATGATCAAGATTATTTTAAATAACCTAGCTTAATGCTGAGTTATTAATTGTAAACAATAACTATAATTATGTGTTTACTGGTTATTGTTGAATATAAGACAAAAGTAACATGAAGATTAAATATTCAACAAATCAAAGTGGAAAAACTGTCAGTTTTGTGATGGGGGAAGAGGAAACAAGTAAAATTCTCGTTTTATATAATTCCTGACAAATTAAAGAGTTAAGTGTATAATATAAACTTTTTAAAAAGCACTTGAAGGAAATGTAGGCAAATAACAGATTCCAGATTTTGGAAGGACTTTATAAAGATAAAATATGGAAATAATAGTAGAAAAATGAATGAATGTTATTGTACAAATGTTGAAAAGTTTCTACATCCAAAAATATTTTTAACAAAATGAAAAGGCAAATGACAAACTGGTGGTAGTGTTGGTGGTGGGGAGTCATTTTGAGAAAAAAATAAATAAGAATAGCCAAAATGGCCTATAATTATATGAAATGAAATTAAGACTTTATAAAATTCTGTATTGAACTAGTGAATAGTTTTTTTAAATAAAAACGTAGTGCTGGGGATTGTAGGATGACATTAATTGCATTTATTTTCTTCTTGTGAGAGTTCAAATATTTGATAACATCCTTTCCAAAAAGGCACATCTCATGTATCTACTGGAGCTTTGTTTGTATCCTTTATCCCACTAAAAATTTAGCTCTTTATTTTTCAAAGGTAGACATTCCTTGTCCTACTTGCAGCTTCTTCCCCAGGCAGGAATTGGAAGAAATTGGTCGGACTA